CGAACAAGAAATTTTGTTCGTTTAGTTGTTTAAGTTCGTTCGTTTGTTTAGTTAAAATTAAACGAACAAGAATATAGCCTCATACGTATTCGTTCGATCTTACAGGCCTCACAACCTCTAGTTTTAACCAAAAAAATTAAAGAGTAAATCTATAGTTAAAACGTGCGGAACACAGTCCAACATATATTTATTAGTGTAAAATTATTTTAAAATCTACGTTTTATGAATAATAAAATAATTTAAAATCTGATCATCGTAGATTATTCATGTACTATTAAAAAACATTATTCATGTAGATTATAAATATTTATTTAACATATATGTATATATATCTCTCATTTAAATTTCAGAAATAAGGATAATGTAATAGTGATTTTTTGAAATTAGATTAAATGTTTTCAAAAAATATTTTTAGATTATTTATTTTCAACTTTAAATACTTAATATTATTCTTAAATAAACACTTTAATAGATAAAATATTTATTTTTAATAAATTTATAATATAAATAATATATATATATATATATTGTTTTATTCAAAAAGTGTTTTACTTACCAAAAACTGGAAATTATACAATTTAAATTTTTAATATTCAATTAAAAGAAACTGATTTGAAATCTTTAATTAAAAAAGTAATTTAAAATATTGAAAAAGAGCACCTAAATTGATTGCTTTTTCGAGGTGGAAGATGATAAGAATGATGGTAGGGGTTAACGGTTTTTGGCCTTTGCGGTTAGTAATATCCACGTGTGTCTAGGGGTGCATATCGATCGACTCGATCGTGAATTTTGTAGGATTCGATTCGTGCTCGTTAAAAAGTTTATTACTCGACTCGACTCGTTACTCGTTAAGTTCGATGTGCATTGTTCGTCTCATTGTTTGCTAAGCTTACAAAACTTTTTACTTTATTTTCTTAACTATAGATAAAATCTACTAATTTATACATAACTTAATATAAATTAATAAATTTAACAAAAAAATTATCTAAAGAGTTTATGAAGTAATTGTAAAGTTTAAACTCCAAAGTAACAATCCACAAATACATTAAAATAATAAATAAGATTTGATTTTTGAGTGTATGAAATAATTTTTTAAGATAACTATTAAAGAATTATATAAAAAAAATTAACGAACTGCTCACGAACTTATTGAATCGAATTAAACTTTACTCAACTCAACTCGTTAAGATTTTAAATTGAGCTCGAATTTAAATCAAATCAACCCAAATTTTATTTTTACCAATCGAATTTGAGCTGTGCAATTCATTAAGCATTGATAGATGTATTTACAGTAATTGGGTTATATTCTCTCTTTATTTTGTTAAAATTTGTCTTACGAGTAATTCTACGTGGGACCATGTAATTTAACACGGTTTTAAACTTAAAATATTATTTTATATTATTTAAAAGTTTTATAGTACTTTCTGTTGTAATAAATATAACAACTGTTCAGAGTTTATAATAAAAAAAGTTATACATTTTATAATAATTTTAATTATAACCGAAAATATTACGAAAAAAATAATATCTTCAATTTTAATCTAAAATGTTATCATGTTAGTCCTAAAAATTTAGATATTTAATAGATTTTTTTATCACAACCGATTTATGTCGTATTTTAACCTTATATCACCACTTCATATTTTAAACTCTCCTAATATATTTTGAAACCCCAAACTCCAAATTCCAGCCCCAAAGTTTGCTACTGTGAATCCATTGCCAGATTTTGTTCTAAACCCTGTTTTGATTTGATTTTTTCCGCAATTACACCTTATCTAGTATACTTCTCATCCTATGTGTATATATATCATATTCATAAAGCTATGAAATAGACGAGATAGATTACGGTTTATTCAAGTTCGATCGATCAAAGTTCAATCAACAATCAAATCGAATGGATTAAACTTAAACTCAAACTTGACTCGAGTTTTCAATGAGTCAAAGTGAACTATTTGCGTTGTCCGGTCTCCTGGAGGTTGCCAACATGTTTGGTATTAGACACACCGCTGTTGATTCGTATGCAATTTCCCGTTCATCTCCCTAAACCTTTGAAAATCAATACATGAGTACAAGGACATCAAACTTCAAAGAACAAATCAACATTGAAAATGATGGTCAGCTGCCAACCAAATTACCAAGAACAACAACAAAAGAAACAGTTTGCATCATTCCAAGGTAGATTAAACATAAAGTAAGAAAAGCCATTAAATAAAATGAAAAACAAAAAACAGTTTACACAATCCCAAGCCAAATAAAACTAGAATTGAATTAGGGTTTTATATTAGGCTAAGGTGATTATAAGTTAATATCTGTAATAAATATTCTCAATTATTTGACAATAAATGCTCAATCACCTTGTTGTAGTTGCTGACGCTTGAACCCGTGACTTCTAGAAATAATAACGATTCATTTAATCAAGGAGGTAAGTTGGTTCGAACATATCTCTAACTTATTTTAATCTTACTGCTCCAATACTTAATAATGCAGCATATACCTTATCAACAAAGTCCGAAGTTTTTCCGGAGAAAAATGGAAAATGTATATAAATAATGGGTAAACTATATGGATGACCACTCGACTATAGGGCTGGTATCGAAATGATCACCATTTTCAAATTTACGATAATATGACAATTGAACTATTAAAATGGGTTCAATATAGCCACTATATGTTACAATCTAACGGAGGGTGATGTGGAGTTAACAAAAATTTATATAATTACACATTTGATCTTCAATATTTGTATATTTTATCAATTTAGTCTTAATTTTAATTTAATTAAAAATTAATACTCCAATCAAGATGTCTCATAAGTCAATCGATTATTGAGACATATTTTTTAATTTTTAAGCTGAAGTGGAATTTTAGTTATTTTTAAAAAATTTAAATTATTATTGTGGAGTTAACAAAAATTTATATAATTACACATTTGATCTTCAATACTTGTATATTTTATTAATTTAGTCTTAATTTTAATTTAATTAAAAATTAATACTCCAATCAAGATGTCTCATGTGTCAATCGATTATTGAGACATATTTTTTAATTTTTAAGCTGACGTGGAATTTTAGTTATTTTTAAAAAATTTAAATTATTAATCTTCACCAACTCACTCACTGATTGGATTCGGACAAACCTTGCTTGCCATGAGAATTTCCCGGATATGTCTTCACCTTGGAACATTCTTTTCTCTATTATTCTTTGGCAAACATGGAAACGCATAAATTGTTTTGTTTTCACCGACTTATGCCCCTCCATGGATGATGTGTTCAACTTGAGTTCTTTGTGGGCTTTTCACTTTGCCAACGGCAATTCTCACACAAAACTCCCAAGATTCGACAAGCTGTGCCAATATTATGGAAGCCTCCTCCAAGCCGGTGATGCTGCATTAATACGAATGCATCTGTTGACACGGTCCAGGTTCGAGTTCGGTGGGGGTGTTGGCCGTTTATCTGATGACGCATGACTCTTTGGGTTCCACTAAGCAATTGGTGTGACCAATCCTCTTCAAGCCGAACTATAGGGTATTTACCTTAAATTTCATGAAGCTTGGAACCATGGTGTTGAATTAGTGCAGCTTCAGTCGAATAGTCTACAGGCAATTAATCTTCTCAACAACCTAAATGCTGGTGGTGATTTGATTCCCTTTGTGCGTGCTATCTCGTTGATGTGTAGTCGTAGCTGGTACGTTGAATTCCTCTGGATCCCCGTGAAGGTAATATGGTTGCAGATAGTATGACAAAACTTACCCTTCCCCTTAACTACGAGATGCACAGATTTTCCGAAGCACAAACATCCATTCTTCATTTGGTTCATAGGGACATTGTTGGTCATCTTTATGTTAAACTTGATGTAATTGCTTAAGGATCTTTGCGTTCAAAAAAATTACTACATATTTCATAATTTTTTTAGAAAACAAGAATAATTCATATGATGATAAAAAATACAAAATATTGATTATTAAACTTTGTTATAGCACGAACCAAGTTACTTCGGCGGTAAAAGAATTGTTGTTATTTCTTGAGATCACATATTCGAGCACCATGAATGATAGGGGTATCAACGTTGAAAGTCAAATGATTTAGAGTTATCTTTAAATAGATATTGCCTTGTACTTACCCCATATTGATAAAAAAAGAAAAAAACTTTGTTATAATATACAAAGAAAATAAAAATATAAACAACACGAATGATTGTTATTTCTAGAAGTTTCGAGTTCAAACACTAATTACTTTATCAGGGGTGATTGAGCGTTCATTTTCAAATTATTAAGTAATATTTAGACCACAAGTTTATGTTGTTTGAACGTGTTTTTGACACTTACGTGCTATTAGCCTACTTTCTTTCATATTCAAAAAATTATTAAAATTTAATGATTTATAAGAAATCAAAGTTATGATTTTTATATATTTTTAAAATTTTACTTTTTTTTAATTATGAATTAAAAATATGAGTAAAAATACACAAATGATCATCGACTATAAGACATTTATCATTTTCTATTGAATATTGGCGTTCAGCTAAACATTAATATGTTGACTGAAAAATGATAGTCGTTTAAATTTAGGATAAGATTTTATCATATATATAGTAGTTAGTCGGTTAGCGTTTTGCTCATACTGTTGTTAATTTTTAACGAAAATGAAAAATTTGAAAAATATGAATTATTGAATAATAATTTTGTAACTTTTAATAATCGGTGACTCAATAAAACAACTCTATAATCAAATATTATTCTATAATTTTTAATAATCAAATTATCAAATGCCTATATTCGGTATACCGTTTTTGTACTCTATCCTAAAAATATTTGAAAAAGGAACATTTCAACCAAAATATCTACTTGAAATCTATATCTTATCAACAAAATATAACGGCCCAGATCTCTCATGATACTTGACGGCAAGGCAACCAAGTAGGCAACTGGATCAGTTGCCCTTATTTATCTCATTTGCCCCTTTAAATATCTAACCTATCCAAAGTTCTTCTGCTTAAACCCTCGGTTCCATTTCGAAAACCTTATCTTTTTAGCAATAGCGGAAAACAACAGCTGAAAAAGAAGCGAAGAAGTCATGTCTGCAGCATCTGCTTCATCTCTTACACTCCCATCTCTCAAACCCAAAGTCTTATCTTTATCAACCTCAACACCCATTTCACTTTCCCTCTTCTCTCTTTCTCACAAGCCCTGTGCAAACCCTCTCTTTTGTTCTGCTCCTCGAAGTTTCGAGCTTTTGACCAAAAAGTCTTCTTTGTCTGCTAAGTTCGTCAGGAACGTTGCCGTTTCATCTGACTATGGGCAGGAAGGTGATTTGTTTGGTAGTGATGAGGACGGAGAAGAGGCTCCTGATTTCTCCCCTGACTTGAAACTTTTTGTGGGAAATCTTCCTTTCAGTGTGGATAGCGCTCAGCTTGCTGGGTTATTCGGTAGTGCTGGAAATGTTGAGATGGCTGAGGTACTTAATTTTCCTTTCTGGTTTTACATTTGAATGTTGAATGCTCAAAAGGAATTTAGCTATTTGAAGGATCATTGTGAAAGTTTTCATTTGATGATTTAATTGAGCATGGATTTGAATATATGCTACATAGACGGTGAAATTTTTTGTGAATTTAGAATCAAAATACTGACTTTGACGTGGTGAAATTTTTTGCTTTCGGCAGGTGATTTACGACAAGGCAACTGGGAGAAGTAGGGGGTTTGCTTTTGTTACCATGTCCACAATTGAGGAAGTTGAAGCTGCTGAACAACAGTTCAATGGCTATGTAAGTCATTATTAATAGCTAACATCCCCATAAAATTAATCAATTCATGATAAGTCTATAGGTTTTATGATAAGCTTCTGTTTGGGTTATCATAAAATTTTCTCCTGTTTGACTTACTGGTTACAGGAACTGGAAGGGAGGGCATTGAGGGTAAACTCAGGACCTCCTCCTCCTCGTAGGGACGACTTTTCTCCCAGAGGAGGAAGAGGCAGGGACGACTACTCTTCCAGAGGAGGAAGAGGATGGGAAGACTACTCTCCCAGAGGAGGAAGAGGCAGGGACGACTACACTTCCAGAGGAGGAAGAGGCGGGGAAGACTACTCTCCCAGAGGAGGAAGAGGCAGGGACGACTACTTTCCCAGAGGAGGAAGAGGCAGGGAAGACTACTCGCCTAGAGGAGCAAGAGGTGGTCCTCCTATGGGTGCTTCAAATCGTGTTTATGTTGGTAACCTTTCATGGGGTGTTGACGATACGACACTTGAGAATTTGTTCAGCGAGCAAGGCAGCGTTGTGGAAGCGAAAGTCGTTTATGACAGGGAGAGTGGTAGATCAAGGGGTTTTGGCTTCGTTACTTACAATTCTGCTGAAGAGGTTGACAGGGCCATCAGATCCTTGAATGGTTCTGTAAGTTCATTAGTGCCTTGATCTTTCGTCCGTGAATGTTTATAGCAAGTTGAGAATTAGTAATTGTATAACGTACTATTGGTGATAGAAGATGTAAGATAGGTCATTTGGCTAATTTATATCGTCAATGTCTTTCATGCTTCTTCCATTCTATGTGACGGCTGTGGGCGCCTACTGAATTTCGTATGCATGATTGTCTGGTGCAGGATTTGGATGGCAGACCAATTCGAGTCACTGTTGCCGAGTCTAGGCCAAGACGCCAATTTTGAGTGCCGATGTTTCCTACTCCTGCTGCTTAACTCATAGGGTACGACTCTCAGATCTTCTGTTTCAATTCTAAAGCACACGAACTTTCTTGTCGGCCTTTTATCATATCCGACATTATTACACATTTTAGTTTGACAATGTGCAAACTGGCATTATATCTCGTCTTAAATTAAATGTTCATTGCTTATGCTTATTTAAGCTTGGATTGGATTCTCTTTTTATCAGGGACAACTGGAATATGCAGCTGGAAGATGGCAAGTGCAGTCTTTTTTTCTGTTCAGTGGAATCTATAAACATGTTTCTTTTTGTCTCAGCTGCAATGGCTGATCTTTTCGACATCTGTGTATAGATTAGAGAAGGTTGACAATATCCATTGAAATATTTGCATTTATCTGTCAACTATTTTGTGTCAATCAAACATGAAAATCCATTACAAATATGTTAATATTTGTGTCAATCAAGATTGGACATGGCTGCACCTACGATTTTAAAGTCACATGACGACGAGGAGCCGCATGCATGGATGGATCGAGGGCAGTTGTTCTTTTAAAAATTTAAAATCACTATATTTTATATTTTTATATATATTTTTTATTAAAAATTATTTTTGTCTCTTAAAATTTTATAAATTTAAATTCGTCTTTTAAAAATGATCATCCAGCTCAGTTGGTAGAGCACAAGGTTCTTAACCTTGAGGTCGTGGGACCGAGTTCCACAGAGGGCATTTCATAATTCAGAGGTCTCTTACGGAAGCTGCTCTCAACCTGGTGTTGGGGGTAGCCTACTATCTTACCTCCTCTTTATCTCATATATATAGGAAAAAGGGACAACCATTTTTTTTTTAAATTCGTCTCTTAATATAAAATCACTGTTTATGGTGCCATGATCAAATGAATATTTTGTTCACTGGTAAACATATATGCTAGATTCGTGATAATAACTCTGAGATGAAGACGGTTGAAACTTGAAATCATAAAACCCTTTATCTGACGGGTAGTTCAACCGTATAACAACTTAATATAAGACAAAGGTCAAGGTATAGCAATTTAATATAAGACAAAGGACAAGGTATAGCAACTTAATATAAGACTAAGGACAAGAGCTATCGAAATGTTATAAACAACATAATATTTTAACATTTTTTGTTCAACCAAAAATATAATGAAAAAGATAACATTTTTTGTTGCAACCTAAAATGTTACGAAGAAGATTTGCATCTGAAAAATATTAAGAAAAAATTAACATTTTAGGTTGTGCTAAGGACAAGAGCTATCGAAATGTTATAAACAACATAATATTTTAACATTTTTTGTTCAACCAAAAATATAATGAAAAAGATAATATTTTTTATTGCAACCTAAAATGTTACGAAGAAGATTTGCATCTGAAAAATATTAAGAAAAAATTAACATTTTAGGTTGCACACAACCTAAAATGTTATGTTTGTTTATAACAATTTTGGTCACTCATTTCCCTAGTCTTATATTAAGCTGATGTAGCGTAGAACTCCCCCTTATCTCATGTGATGTTTCTTTCTTTGAAAAGCTTGAAATCACAAAACCCTTATTCTTGTTTTTTTATTATAACATTTTGACATCTAACGTTTCATTTATAGGGGGAAACCGTTAACAATTGACAAAATAAATATTTTGGCTCTTATTCCTTTTTTCTAAAGTATTTTGACCCTCCATGTTTTATTTTAGGATAAAAAATACCTCTATTTTAGAGCATTAACCATTTAGTAACTAACTACTTCCATACATAAAGGGTCTTTTTTTTACTCAAAATGAAAACTCGGGGTTTAAGATGCTCCCAAAAAAATCATGTAGTTGAAATACTTATAAAACGTTTTTTTTTATTAAATTAAAGTGATTACAAAGTAACATATGTTCTAAATACTCTCAATCTTTTGACAATATAAAAGCTCAATCATCCTGCTACGGTCGCTGGTGCTCGAACACGTGACCTTTAAGAACAATAAAGATTCTTTTAACCACTGAGATAAGTTAGTTCGCGCTACCGCTAATTAAAAGTTAAAACGTTGAAACCATTGCAGTTTAGAAGGGAACATGTAGCCAAAGTACATTTGAACATGTTTCATACAAGCATCTTGCGCAAAGGCGTCAAAAATTACGTTAATTTATATATTTTGCAAATTAACCCTTACCCTTTTATATGTTTGTGAATGGGTATTAATTATAGATTCTGTATATATTTTGTTAAATTGATTTTTTAATGATTGATTATTTTAGTTATAAATTATGTTGTCAACATCATATATTATTGAAATTAATAATTATTTTAATTATGAATTATGTTGTCAACATCATATATTATAGAATTTTTCTTGACCGCATCCCACATTTCCGTTATACAATTATTTTTAAAACATTTTAACGTAAAATATTAAATGGTGTTACATTATTTTTCTCGAAGTCCAACAATATGTAAACAAGAAGGTTCATGTTTCCTTAAAAATTAATATTTAATTAATTCACGGTGTATAATTTATGTGTTATTAACGAGTAAGATGATGATTTATAATTATAAAATTATATTTATTTAATTTATTTTTTTATATGTAATAATCAAATTTATTAATAGTTCATGAAATTATGAATCAAATACTCACTCTTTAAATAATATCCTCACAATAAATGTCAAATTTTACTTGAAAAATCTTCCAAAATTGACTTGATTCAAACCATTTTACATTTTTAAATATTTTTTTGCGAAAAAAATTAATTTTGGATAATAATTTTTAGGGTAAACTACGTATTTAATACTTAAACTATCAATTTTGATCCGTTTTAGTACTTAACCTTTCAATTTTTTTCTTCAAAATCATACCTAACATTTAGTTTTCATTTCATTTTAGTATCTCGCTGTTAAAACTTAATTCGTTTTGTCGAAATGATTTTTCTTTAAAAAAATATTTTTTTAAAAAAAATTGATTTTTAAAAGATATTGTCTCGAATAATTTGGCGACCTTTTAATAATAAAACGTGATTAGAGGAGTCACCACCAATATTTGATTAGGGTATGATTGGACACCCAAAACATATTTTTCATTTTATTAAAAATATTAATTTTAATTAAAACAACAAATGTACGGTCTCCATTACAAAAAAATTGAGTTCGGGAGTCGATTACACGTGGAGAATAATTAGCACCCCACAACACCCTAAATCGGTATCTAGTCGATTAATTAGTTGTTTTTGCAATAAAATTTACGAATTTGAGTTTACTTTAATTCAAGATCACATACAAATAATATTCTTTGAATTTTAGGATGAAACACAATAATATTTAATTATTTCCTATAGAGTAGAATCGACTTCTCATACCTTAAAACAGTCAATCACTACTCCAATCGAAATAAATAAATATTATAATTTATGGTCAAAATCCTTAACCATAAAAGTTTACTATGAAAGGGAAAGAAAGGCAAGGCAGCCTCTTGTCTTTGTCATCTTCGTCACCTCTCTCAAAAATCATATCCATAAACAACTATTCAACCTTTATTCAATGGAGGTCGGGCATTCACTGGTACCGAAGTTAACACCCCGAGCGTGAGCAAGACAGTGAAGAGATGATTAAAGAACACGAAAGAGAAAAAAGAGAGAAGAAACCATCGCTCACAATTTACAGTTTCACGTTGCCATCTTAGTTTACTGCGATTGCCTCTGCCGTAGTAGCCATTGCGACCACCATCACAACTTCTTCTTTGTCCCCCACCTCGGACAACGCGTCCAGTCGGCGATGACAAACATGACCGTCCCCCACATGGACGACAGTTATGGGAACTGAATGTTACCATCTTACTTCAACTGTGAGCTTCACAATTAATGTCCGTTCCCACGAATCTCATTCAATTTCCTAAAGCTTACTCCTGTTGTGTATGAAAGATCTCATTACACATTGTGCGGTTCCATTTTAGAACACAAATAACTTTGAAAACTAGTGTCTCAACAATATCTAAAGTTAAATGAGCAAATTGAAAAAAATTAAAATTACGGTCAATAAAATAAGATAGAAAGTAAAATTCAGTGAGTAAGTATGTAATTTAGCCTATTCCTATTTAACCTCTTTCCCCGCATTCTACAACTAATTGGTATAGTGGGATGAGCCATTAGGTTTTTTAAATAAGGTTAGAGGTACGAATCTTCAGGTTTGCGAATAGAATAAATTGGATTGAGAGGGTCGTCCTCGCTTCTGTAGTACTCGATCTGGATTAGTCGATAAATAGATCAGATATAAATGATTAATTAAAAATATATATATTCTCAGGCGAGAAAATAGAAAAAAATACTCTCATAAGCTATATCGATTAGATTATCCTTATAAGCATAAGTGAACGAAATGAACAGAGCTAATAAAAAATAGAAGAGGATGCCATTTTCTTAAATAATTTAAAATGATGCCATTGGTGTATTTTATAAGCTTGGAAAACTTGCGTGTGAAAACTTTCTTTCAAGTGGCAAATTATCAATGATTTGTTGAGGTTATGCTGTGAGGAGGTTAAAAAAACTTAAAAAAAAATGCGTAACTGGTTAAACAAGTTATGAGTAAAAATGGTTAATAATGTAAACAGTAAAAAAATAGCGCTACCTATTACATTAAATTATTTATCATTTTTTTGAAGGTTGTTAATAATGTAAACGGTAAAAAAAAATAGGCGCTACCTATTATATTAAACCACATACTGATTTTTTTTAAGGTTGCTAATAATGTAAACGGTAAAAAAAATATGTGCTACCTATTACATTAAAATACCTACTGGTTTGTTTAAAGATTGCAAATAATGTAAACGATAAAATAAAATAGGCGCTACCTATTACATTAAAATACTTACATGTTTTTTTAAGGTTGTTAATAATGTAAACGGTAAAAAAAAATAGGCGCTACCTATTACATTAAAATACCTACTGATTTTTTGAAAGTTGCTAATAATGTAAACCGTAAAAAAATAGACACTACCTATTACATTAAACTACATACGGATATGTTGAAAGTATCGATTCCATTTAAATAAATATCAACACTTTTGGAATTTAAAAGAAAAGTAGTAATAACACCTATAAAGTATCGGCACTTTATAAAAATGTATCGATACATAACAGGTAAAAATATGACAAAACCAATTTTATTATGACAAAACCGGTAAAGAGCTACCGGATATGTTGAAAGTATCGATACTTTATCGACATTTTGTTGAAAGTTATGTAATTTATGTTTAAATTTTTTTTAATAATACTTTATGTTTTCCACCTACAATATTAATTTAATAATTTCATTTATATAAAAAATTATTTGATTGTTTAAATATTTTATAAAATATTATTTAGAATTTAAATTTAACAATTTTAACTAAAGATAATAATAAATATATAATATCT